CCAAGAGAATTTACAATGCTTCATCCTGGCAGATGACACCTGCACACCCTCCAGTGTGCAGTCTTACAAGTGAATACCCCGAGTGCCAAACACCAGGGGAGTTAGCCAGCCAGCCTGTCATTATTAGTAGAAAATCCCTACAAAACAATGCCTGAGTCTAGTCCTTTGCAAAAACCTCAGGCCCTCTAAGGGACTGCATATAATTTCATTTTCAAAACCTCTGGCAATTTCTGATAATGCTTAATGTTGACCAATTAAACAAGAAAAAAATATAATAATACATTTGTCCTTCAAATGACTATATACCATAGCTAATTAAGGTCCTTAGTACAAATCAGATAAAATAATCAATGATAGATTTTTTCCAATTGAATCCTTACATGAGTGAGATTTATTAAAACAAACAGCTCTTGACAAATTTGGCTCAGGGTCAAGCACTGTATTTCCTCTTGGTTTTGGGAAAAAGTCAAAGTTATTATAAATGCTTGTCAAGGGGAGATATTTGCTATTTTTCTCTACTGATTTGAAGTAGGTCAGATTGAGAGCTAAAGGCTTCCCTAAGGTTGTAATTAAGTATGAATATTAAAAAATGAGAACAAATAAAAAATAAACAATTTCTCTCAGCTTTCACATCAGAGATACTTCACTATGTTTGCCTGTCGGGCAGATACATTCTTTGGGGGGAAAAAAAAACAGAATTGAAAGAATAGAATTTTTTTTAACTGTACAATAACTCTACAAGCCTAGACTTTGAGCAAGATTCACTCAAGCACAAAGGCTTTGAAGAAGTATTTAATTAGGTAGAGTTAGGGCAAAAATACACAAACAATATGCAGAGTGATTATTGGAATTTAATTCTGCAAGCATTTTTCTTTCCCCTTGAAAAGGGGACACATCATTGTGTCTCCTCCCACCTGAATCATTCAGTCTTATAGAATCATCTTAATCAAGTCAATATCTGCACTAGAAATGTAAATTTAATTACAGTGAGACTTAGGTAAACATTGGCTCTAAGACATTGCTTGGCCTATAGAGTGATAACTGAATTAAGTAGGATTATTTCATCATTATTGTGTTAAGCCCACACTTACACAAGAGAAGCTAATATTTCTAAGTTGTTTTACCCTAGCAAAATACACTCTAAGCAATTACACGAGCCGATTTTGTGTGTTTCCTCCTATGGAAGGAAGGCTTCACGGAGCTATGAAATTGGAATACACTGCAGCTAGAAGAGCAGTGCAGAGAGAGAGGAATGTGAAACGAGGAAGCTTCACCCTGGACCACATCCAATGGTCTAGTGATCAGACTACCAAAGGGCCTCATTAGAAGGCAGATCTGCTGAAGCTGGTGCCCTGGTTTCCTGATAGCCACTTTAGTCGGATCCCCACAGACCTGGAGAATATTCACAGACTTCCCTTTCATTATGTCTGCTTGTCTAGCTGTGGAAACTAAACAGGCCCTCTCTAGACTTAAAGAGTCCTCCGTGAAGGCTCCACCCAAGCATTATTTCTTCTAGGATCCTTTCCTTTACCTCCCTGTCTTGAGACACTTACTTCATGACAAAATTATATTTCTGCCTCTTCTTGGAAACCTAGGGGTAGCTAGATCATTGTTGACCTCTGGGTTAAGCCCAGAGACTGGCACATATTATGAACTCAATACTGTTTGTTGAGTGAATGGATTGATAGGTGGATGGCTATAATTGAAATGCAAAGACATGTGATCACCCACTATGTGCTAGGTGGTAGAAAAAAAGATAGAGGACATATTCTCTAGAAGTTGAGGATCTGCTTCAGGGAAATAGAGAGTATAAAGAGAAGCAGAAGAATAAAAGCCAATACTTATCAAGGGCCAAAGCAGTGAGCTGCCAGGATTGTAGTAGAGTATACTTGTAAATAGAGCCAGACCATTGCAGGAAGGAAGCCCGAGGCAGGAGTAGCTCAAATTCAAAGTCAGCCAAGGCAATTTAATGGGGGGAGTGAGGAGGGCAAAGCCCTCTTAAGGGTATAAAAAGTATTATAGTTTAACGTACTATAGTATAGAAAAGATGGAATCTAGACAAAACTGAATCAAATCCTGACTCCTTTACATGTTGGGCAAATCACTTAACATATCTAAATCTCAATTCATCCATCCATATGAACATAAAAATAATGACTTTTTCTTATATGTGAGACAAAATACATAAAGTTCTTTGCATAGGGTTTATGTATGAGACATGCAATTATTGCTATTACTGCCCTTTCTCTTGACAGGGACAGGACAGATTTAAACAGCTTCATCCTATGATAGAAGTAAGGACTTCAGCAATGAGTATAAAGGACCAATGTGAAATTTTAAGGTCCTTCTTTTTCTATGTTGGATCAAAATGGTAATATATAAGCAGATTTTTAAATAGAATGATTGGTATTAATTTGAGGACTATTAACTAGGTTGCACCACTTCCCTAAGGTACTGTATTTCTGAAAATATGCATCCCAGCTGCAGAAACATTCAAGGAATCTATGGGACAATTATTTAGTATTCCTCATTTAGGTGTCTCATTAGCCCCCTTGGTTAAGGCAAGGTCTCTGCCAATTATCTTTCGTTTTCACCTCTTTTGGACCATTACAGTCACTAGCAGGCAGATCATCTCCTTCAATTACTCTTAATTGCTTTAAGTTTTTTTATTACTTTCTCTGTAACATAATGTCTTTTGTGAGAACAGCATAGATATTGTATATAATTTATGGCAGCTACAACCTCCAGAAATGTCCAATAATCTGTTCCTGGATAGTACTGGCCACTCATTACCAAAGTGATGATCCTTCCTTCTGATTCTATGACACTACAGCATTCTCTAAAAATATATTTGATACTCTGCTATCATCTTATGGAGAAGTTTAATCAAGTAAGCCACTGAGGCTACCTTATGAAATAATTTTAGAATTACCTTGAGAAATCTAATTTTAAAATTGGTTGGGAAAAATCTCCTGAGAGATCTGAATTTTTCTTACCACTTTTCTGAAAATTTTAAAAACTTCTCTGATCTCTCTTTAATAGTGCTTTTATCCTTTATATATTGCAGTCATTTTTAGTTTTAAAAATATTGAAGTGAATCATTCATTTAAATATTTTGATACACAGTTCATAATAGTAAAAGCAGATACTTATTCTGCATATTGAATAATTTCATGTGCGAAGTGGAGGCAGCTAAAAAGAGCCAACAGACTACTGGAGCCCTGGACTGTCAAATCCAAATCTTCTTTGGTGGGTTCTGTTTTGCTACTTGTGATGTATTATTTACAAAATCATGTCCACCTTTATTGTTGATCCTGACCTTCCACTCCTCTCCTCAGATTTGTTGGGACCATCAATTTATTCACATTGTTACATTTACAGAACATCTACTTCTGACTCGTGCCTTAAAAAACTGTCCTATTGGCAAAATACCTATGAGTGTTGTGAAGAGATATTTTTGAAGTGATTATCATGATAAAAACAGCCTATTAACTGAGTCACCTGGGAAAATTAATTTTTTCTCTGAGAGTGTTTTCCCACCTGTAAAAGGTAATATTTTCCTTCTTTCAAGGCTATGGTAACGAAGGAAACCAAACGAAAACTACTTCTCTCAATATACCTGGTGCTTAGTTGGTGCTGGAGTCAGTATACTGTTTGTACATTTCACAATTTACAAAGTGTCTATTCACCCATATTGTGTATATTCTGGTCCTTACTGTAAAATGGCCACCTTACCTGGAATCTGTCTACAAGCAACTATGCATTTTCTGTAGTTCTCTAAATGATTAAACAGATTATTATAAGGTTTTTAGTTCTTTTTATTTATTATCATCTAATAATACTTACAAAGACAAATTAACCGTCATCTTTTCACAAACTAAGTAAGTAACATGGGTTTGGGGGCTGGCTTTTAGGCAGGGAGAGATGAAAGAATTATGGATAGAATCTTAGCGCTCTTTAAAAATATTCTAATGTACTGAAAAAACAAGTTTGGATCTTTGTAGATGAGATCCGCACTATGATCTAATCAAATGTGAAGACTTCAAAGCTCACTGTTGCAAACCTGATCTGGTGTAGCTTCTTGCAAACTAAAAATAGCCATAAAAAATGAAACAATAGGGATTTAGTCATCTCAAAGTAATTTCAGATTTTGTAACTTAGAAAAATATAAACCATAAATTACACCAACAATTTACTTTAGGTTTAGTATCAGTGAACAAGACTTTTGTGTTTTTTT